GTTTGCCTAACTTCTGCAGGACATATCAAGGAAGTTAAACATGTCTGTTATAAATGTTGGGTACCTAATTGCCTTACCTTATAGCTGAGCCAGTAGGCAGACACTAAAGAAAACCTCCCGGCTCACAATGACATACTGTCTTTGTACATCTTTCAAGCGGATGAAAGATAACGGCCATGTATGAGGTTAGTCAAGACTGCTGATTTGCAGTCTCTTCAGGAAATTGTAGTGTTTCCGAGGACAATATTCCTAGTCAAAATAAATTAAGCCTGAAGCCAAAGTGATGACCACAGTCAAAGTTAATAATACTGTATGTTTGGTTGGAAACAACTGGAAGAAAAATAAATTATCATAGCAGACAGTCTGCCTTATAATCCTTTACTCTCAGGTCCTTGTCAGGCAGAAAATGAAGTTTTCTCTTTGAGGACTTTGTATTTGTAGACAGACAAAAAATACCATTTAGCCTGATGAAACGGAGTCTAACGTTAGAGGGGCGTAAGTATGTTTTAGACAAAAACTGGCCTTCTGCTCCGCCCCGCTCGGGGCGTCTCCTGCCGCGCACAGGGACCAGGGTTCGGTGTGGAGTGCCCCTGGTCTTGTACTGGGAAACGGGGTGCGGCCGGAAAGGCGGCTGCCCCTTTGCCCATCACACAATGCACGTTCGTGGGGAACCTGGCGCTAAACCATTCGTAGACGACCTGCTTCTGGGTCGGGGTTTCTTATGTAGTAGAGCAGCTCACTCGCTGCGATCTATTGAAAGTCAGCCCTCGACACAAGGGTTTGAAAAAAGAAGAAAGAAAAAACAAAACAAAACAAAAAGAAAACAAACAAACAAAAAAACTGGCCCTTTACTCACCCAGTTTCAAGTTTTTGAAGAATATGAGATACTCTTATTCTCCTGGATGCAGAAAGAGGATGTACTGCTCTCTGGTAGCAGAGGGTAAGCCACCTTGACAGAGGGGGCAGGAAAGTAAGGCTTCTCATAAAGATGGGGGCTGTCAAGATTGGTCAACGACCAGCAATCAACTTCTGGGTATAAGCCCAAAAGAATTACAAGCAGAGGCTGGGCGCGGTGGCTCACGCTTGTAATTCCAGCACTTTGGGAAGCTGAGACGGCGGGATTGCCTGAGGTCAGGAGTTTGAGTCCAGCTTGGTCAAAACAGTGAAACCCCATCTCTGCTAGAAATACAAAAATTAGCCGGGCGTGGTGGCCGGCGCCTGGAGGTCCAGCTACTAGGGGGACTGAGGCAGGAGAATCGCTTGAACTCAGGAGGTGGAAGTTGCAGTGAGCCAAGACCACTGCATTCCAGCCCCGGCAACAGAGTGAGATTGTCTCACAAAAAAAAAAAAAAAAAAAAAAAAAAAAAAGAATTACAAGCAAAGAGTCCAAGAGACATTTGTACTCCTATATTTGTAGATGCACTATTCACAATAGCCAAAACATAGAAGCACCCCAAGTGTCCATGTATAGATGAATGGAGAAACAAATGTAGTCTATGCGTGCAATGGAACATTAGCCTGAAAAAGGATGAAAATTCTGACCTGTGCTACAACATGGATGAACCTTGAGGACACTACGCTAAATGAAATAAGCCAATCGCAAAGGATAAATACTATATGATTTTACTTTTATGAAGTATCTAGAGTAGTCACATTCACAGAGACAGAAAGAAAGAAAGAAGATTGCTGGTTTCCAAGGATGAGAAGGGGAAGGAGCAATGGGAATTTCTTCTTAATGGGTGCAGGGTTTCAGTTTGGAAAGATAAAAAAAGGTTCTGGGGATCAATAGTGGTGATGACAACATGACAATGTGAATGTACTTAATGTCATCGAACTGTACACTTAAAAATAATGAAAATGGTAAATCTTATGCTATTAAATAAAAGACTAGTAGACCAGAGAGTGATGGGAATCGTGCTATTGGAGATGATGGTGGTGAAGGAGATGAGAAGGCGCAAAGAAATACATCTTTAGGTATAATGAGAAATGTATCCTTAGATAAGATTTCCCCACTATGTTATGATAAGAAAATGAGTCAGGCCCAGTGGCTTACGCCTGTAATTCCAGCACTCTGGGAGACTGAGACAGTTGGATTTCTTGAACTCAGGAGTTCAAAGTCAACCTGGGCAACATGGTGAAACCCCATCTCTACAAAAAATACAAAAAATTAACCAGGCTTGGTGGCGTGTGCCGGTAGTCCTAGCTGCTCAGAAGGTGGAGGTGGGAGAATCACTTGAGCCCAGGAGATCGACACCCAGTGAGCCAAGACTGAGCCACTGCATTCCAGGCTGGATGACAGAGTGAGACCCTGTCTCAACAACAATAACAAAAAAAGTAAAGGGAAATCTTGTCAGGTACTAATTTATTGAGTGCTTACCAATTACCAAAGATTAATTAGGCTAAGAGCCTTGCATTATGCATTAACTCATTTTTTCTTCACAATAGCCCCATAGGCGTGGGTACTACTGTTATACCATTTTGAGATTTAGCAAGATTAACTGTCTGTCTGAGGCATGGAGTCGATGAGCGCCAACAGAGCCAGGAGTTGAAGCCAGGGTGTCTGCAGAGCCCAGTTCTTCCCAAACATGTGTGCACCAGAATCTCCTAGTGGGATTGGGAAACCACACATTGCTGGACCTTAGCCCCTGAGTATCTGAGTCACTAGGTCTGGGGCAGGGGTCAAGGATTTGCATTTCTAACAAGTTCCCCAGTAATGCTCATGCTGCTGGTTGGGGACCACATTTGGAGAATTAGTGAACCAGCCTATGTTCTTAACAGCTGCAAGGTAACAGCAGAAGGAAGGATTGCTCTATACAGGAGGAACCTGGGACAATGGCACAGGGTGACTTGAGACAAGCAGAGTTCCCTACCCTCTATCAGCTGTGCCACCTTTTTCACTGTGACAACAGGGGCAGCTGCTGCTCTGCATCAGCAAGGTATGAGCTTTGAGGTATTTTGCCCAGGAAGTAATGGACAAAGATTAACAGAGTCATACATTCTAATATTTTTCTTTCCCCTGGCCTACCCAAATATTCCATGTCCTTTAGGCTCCAGGTGAAATTCCATCTAAGGCTGATCTCTGGGTCTTCATAACTCAGATTGTATTTAAACTTAATGTTACGCAGATTAGCATTTAATTATTCTCTAATTAATTTATGTGCTTTTGTCTCTCTTCCCTATCTGGCTTTAAAGCTTTTTGAGGTCAAGGACAGTGGTATATATTTATCTAGGACTTCCAGTATGGTTAGAACAGTCTTAGTCAGACTAGACGTATAATCAATGATTATTGAAAAAACTTGTTAAGCAAGTTAGAGATTGTCGTTATATCATATTAATACAAATAAGAGTAAGCATATGATGAACATATTTCAGAGACCTAAGTGTTGGTTAGCTGATGGCTATCCTGTTCATAGTTCAAACGGTGGCACAGATAGGAGTACTGTGGTTCAAGATACCTAAGTGATATCCACATAAATCTAAGAAGGCTGTAAGGGCATGAGTGTGCCTTGAAATTGTGCAGTGAACACCTTTACTACCCTAAGCCATGTCCTTGTGTACTGAGTGGCCCCTACAGGGACACTACTCCCTTCCAAGGAAGGTGATGTCCTTATAAGTACCATTTTAGCTCTCCCATAATATCTGGTGCAATCTCGGTTCACTGCAACCTCCACCTCCTGGATTCAAGCAGTTCTGCCTTAGCCTCCTGAGTAGCTGGGATTACATGTGCACCACTATGCTCAGCTAATTTTTTTTTTTTTTTGTAGTTTTAGTAGAAATGAGGTTTCACCATATTGGCCTGGCTGGTCTCGAACTCCTGACCTCAGGTGATCCGTCCATCTCGGTCTCCCAAAGCACTGGGATTACAGGTGTGAGCCACCAAGCCCAGCCTACTTTATTTTTCTTAAAGTCTAGTCAAGTACGGTAGTGAGAAGGAAAGAGTAGGACAAGGAACTTGATCGGCAACTGACTGTGAAAAATCAATTGAGACACTTCACTGTCTTCAGACCAGCCTGTACTTTTGCAATATTCTATAATTTTCTGATTTACTTGCTTTCTCTCCCCAACTCAATGTGCTAATGAGTGCCTTAAAGATAGGACCATGTTTTATCTTTGTATCCCTAGTGTCTTGAGAAGTATGCTGCATGTAGTAGATTCTCAAAATAAATGTTTGTTGAATGAAGTACCACGTGAGTGTGTGAGTGAAACATAGTCATTGGCAGGTTATTTGGAGCTCCAGATGTGGTGATACACAGTAAAACGCACTGAAATTGCTGGGAGAAAAAGCAAGATAATGGGCAAGTTCCAGGGAGAAAAGGTTAAAGGTGCCATCTGCGTTTTGGTAGTTTTCCCTTGTAGAGTCCTACGATGGATTTTCCCGCCAACAATCCAGAATGACAGATGGAGTGTTTCATCCTGCAGTTACACACGAGAAAAATGCTTTGGTTCCAGTTTTGTAATTTCCACGTTTTTCCTTGATAATTTAGTCAAATCAGGAAACCTTGTTTTCTTAAACAATTATAATGCTCATATTAAAGGCCTTCATGGGAAAATTCCATTTTAGAAATTACTATGGAGATGTAACAAAGCTCATCAGTGCTTTATTGTCTCCAAGAATATACTCCTTCATTTGACCTCCTAAAAACACCTCTTTGTTACTTGGCCTTTGTGTTAGTCATCAGTGCTGTTTCCCGGGGTCATGAGTGTCTGCCCACCCTCCTTCTCAGCACGTGGCAGGATGGTGCTTCTCTGTCCCCCTTGAAGTTCGATGAGCCAGGTGACTTGCTTTGGCCAGTGAAATGTGAGGGAGCAGGGGACATGTGTCACTTCCTGGTGGAATTTTCAAGAACCAGTGTGCCCTTCCCTACCTTATCCTTCCCATTTCACTGGCGATGGGTCAAACTGAAACCTCCGTCAGCCTGAGGTCTCTAAGTAATTTCTATGAGTAATGTGTTCATACTTCTTGTAGATGGAAAGTCAAAATGATCAAAGAAAGTGCTTCTTTGAAGTGCCTTAGAGAAATAACTGGCTAGACAGGTCTATTTCAACTCCTCCCTTTTATTTGAAGACATTACTTCATAGTTAGTGCATTACAATCTGTGTGAGCATGGGTGGCTTCAAAGGCCTATGAAGGATCAGCAGCCCTTCCCAGTGTAAACACGAGTCTACTGTGTCTGATGAGTGCCTTTTATAGCCGTCAGTCCTGCCATTGTTAGAAATGCCATTACAAGCTTTGTTCAATAAAAGATACTTACTCCTCATTCCTGAGCATTATCTGCAAGGTGTCCCTGTTTCCTAGTCCCTTCCAGCCAGCCCACCCCACGTCTTCTGCCTCTCTTTTGTTGTTAATACCCCCCAGTCATCCCTGCGCAGAGGCAGCCTGGGTACTCTGCTGCTAGCTTTCGTTTGCCCATATCCAGAGCCAGGCTGTGATAGAGACCCCTGCAGTATGGGAGCCTGGCTGAATGTTGGACTTTGTGGCTGCTGATCCTGCCTTGTTTCTTGGGCTCAGAGCCAGGGTGGATCTTGGACAAAGTACTAAGCAGGCTAACTTTGTTCTCAGACCCACACATCCCTCTTCACACCTGGGCGACAGCACTGCATAGGACGCATGGGGGATTGAGTCTCCCACTACACTGACTAGCTGTGTGACCTTGAGCAAATGACTTAAAATCTTGACACCTCAGCTTCCTGAGTTCTTAAAGCTGGTACTGGTGCCTAGCTCAAAAAGTGATTGTGAATTAAATAACACAATACCTATATGCTTGGCATGCTGTAACCCTTCAATATATTTTAAGCTTCATTATTAGTTTTGTTAGTTTTAGTCTTACTAAGATGCAAATGACTGGTAAGGCTTGGATGTGTTCCTCCTGGGCTGTGGGAAGCCTGGTGTACAGGAGTCTGATGTTCCTCCTGGAGGAGAGACAGTGACAACAAGGTACACACACTGCAGCACGGCTCTGTGCTGTGTGCTCACCTACATGCATACAAGAACCCTTCTGGGATAGAAGATACTTTATTTCTTTGTGAAAACAATATTTTAAAAAGGATATCAGCTTGTGCTGCTGAGCCAAACAACAGAAAATAAAGAGCTCTGGAAAGTGATAGTTCTTAGCCAGGAAATCCTCAGCAATTTGGGATAAATGGGAGAGTGGGGAAGCTGGGCAGTGTCCAAGATCGATGCAGTGAATGAGTCCATGAGTCCATCACACACGTTCTGCAGAGAAAGGAAAACAGGGTGTATGAAATGTTTTAGTAAGTACTAAACATTTACTAAACAGCTAGCAGAAAAATTGCTTATCACGTGAGGCATAAAACTGTAGTGGAAGCTGGGAATGCACAAGTGGTGTGAGACTGTACAGGAAGCATGAGTCTTGTTGGAACTGAGACATGGGAGAAAGCAAGGGGCCCAACTAAACACTGCATTTTCACAGGCTGAGGGACTGGTGTAAGATGTCTGATATATTCCTGTCCAAAGTCATGGGTTGGCTTTACTCTGTTGGTGTGTGTCTGCCTCTCCTTTGGCCAATGGCCTGCTTGAAGAGGGGGTTGTGCCTTCACCACTCTTCTCTCTCCCAAACTAGCTCTGTGCTTGGCACATGGTAAGTGTCACCTAGGTGTTTAGCGAGTGAATGATTGAGTGAATCCATCTCAGGAGCGAGGTTCCAAGGTCTAAGCAGGCCTAGCATATAGGAAGCTTGTGCTAAGGCAGTCAGCTAGGAACTCTAGGTTTCTGCCTAAGGACAGGATAGGTGGAAGCATAGGTAAGTTGGAAAGAGGCCAGCCTTCTTCAGGGCATTCCTGTTATGAAGTGTGAAGGTCTGCAGGGACTTTGAACTCAGCATTGCAAAAGTTTACTGATGAAGATGTAGGAAAAGGTAGGCATGAGATCCTGGTAGAGCCATTCAGGAGGCTCAGAAGCCCGTGGTTTTGAGGGAAGTATGGAGCCAAAATGCTGTCAAACCTCTTAGGTCTCAGAAGGGAACCTAACCTTGAAAATTGAGTTATTTGTGTATAGAGAACATCATACCTTGGGCCAAGTGTGGTAGCTCACCCCTGTGGTCTCAGCACTTTGGGAGGCCAAGGTATGGGTTGAGCCCAGGAGTTGGAGACCAGCCTGGGCAACATAGTGAGACCCCAGCTTTACCAAAAAAAAAAAAAAAAAAAAAAAAAAAAAAATTAGCAAGGCATGGTGGTACATGCCTATAGTCTCAGCTACGCAGTACCTCAGGCTGAGGTGGGAAGATTGCTTAAGCCCAGGAGCAAGAGGCTGCAGTGAGTCATATCACATCACTGCACTCCAGCCTGAGTGACAGAGTGAGACCTTGTCTCCAAAAATTAATTAGTTAATTAAATGAATAACATTTAAAAACTAAAATTTTACCTTGTTTGAGGCACCTCAGGATCTTACCCGGATACAATTGTGATCATTTTTTGAGCACTTTTATGCCAGGTATTGTGCTAAGTGTTTTGGGTACTACTTTATCTAACTTAATTCTCATAACAACTTCAAAGATAAGTACTATGATCCCCATTTTAAAGGTGAGAACTGAGGCTTAGTAAAGTTAAGTAACTACTACATTATAGATCACAGATTCAAAGCCACGTGGTATGACTACAATATCTCATGCCATTGACCACTAAGAAAAACTCCTACCTTTATTTTATTTGCAGGTTAGGGTGCGTGCATATGTATGTAGACTTAAAACATCTACCATCATTTTATGATTCTTCTACAAATGTTGCTTCTAGAACTCCTTGGCTATACCCTTAAATTTCTAGACTGGGGAGATACAGACGGACTTTATGGTGGTTTCCAGAATCTCTACCTGCTGAGGTTCCCACCCTCTTGAGTGTAGGCAGGACACGAGACTTGCCTGTAACCAATGGAATATGGTGAAGGTAATGGGGTGTCGTTCCCATGATTATGTTAGTTCATGTAGAACTCTATCTTCTTAGTAAACTTGGATAGAGTCTCTCTCTCTCTCTCTCTCTCTCTCTCTCTCTCTCTCTCTCTTGCTGACTTTGAAGAAGTGAGTTCACGGCAACTCACTTCTTCAAAGTCAGCAATAGAGAAAGGCAAAGAAATAAATTCAACAATCCGAGGGCGTATGGACAGAGATCTTTACCTGGTCAAGCCTATAATGAGAACCCAGCCTTGGCCAACACCTTGATTGTCGCCTGGTGAGACCCTAAGGACAGAGCCCTTCTGAGCTGTGTTCAGGCTTCTGACTCAAAGAACATGTGAGAGAACAAGCATGTGTTGTTTGAAGCTGCTAAGTGTGTGGTAATTTGTCACACAGCATAGAAAACAAATACACAGACCATTGCCTGAAAGGAAGAAAAAACCTTGCTATGTGATGATTGGAGAGACACAGAGTTCAGAGGATGGTGCAAAGCTGTTCTTGTTTTTTTCCGTTTTTGGAAATTAGTATATGAGAATCCTCCTCCTTGGTGGACAACAATAAGGCCTTTGTTTAAAAAACAAACAAACAAAAACCCAGCCTGTCTCCCTTTGTTCTCCAGCCAGCCCCTCCCTCTCATGTGTCCTCTGGAGTCCTAGCTCTCAAGCTCTCAGTGGAGCTGCACAGTGGGGAAGAATGTCCTAGTCCCTTCAGGCTTTCAGGCTGCTATAACAAAATGCCATAGACTGGGTGGATTATAAACAACAGAAATTTATTGCTTACCGTCCTGGAGGCTGGGAAGTCCAAGATCAAGGTGTTGACAGATTTACTGTCTGGTGAGGGCCTGCTTCCTCATAGATGGTCGTCTTCTCACTGTCACCTCACATGGTAGAAGGGGCAAGATATCTCTCTGGGGTCTGTTATATGGGGCGCTAATCCCATCATGAAGGTTGCACCCTCATGACTTCATCTAACTCTAACCACCTCCCAAAGGCACTTGGGGATTAGAACTTCAACATACGAATTTGGGAGGGACACACATTCAGTCCATTGCAGAGCGTTCAAGTCCTTTCCATTATGCCCAATGGAAGGGAAATAAAAATGGCATGGCCTCAGGGTGAAGCAACTACAGGATAAACATATCTTTCCACATACTGATTACTTCTAATTGTGTATATCTCTGTATTATGATGCCTGGAGTTTCTGGGGTTTTTTTTTTCCCCATGTTACCAAAGACTCCCTTCTATTATTTCAGTTGGTATAAAACAGGGTCTAATTAAGTTGTTAGCTCATTACCTCACCTCTGGGAATGAGGGGAAAGAAGAAAATTTCACTGGGCCTCACCTCTTATCAGAAAAAAGGTTTTGTATCCCTGAGAGCAGGGAAACTGCAGGTTAAAGGCTAAATTCCTTTGGTTGTAATGTAATACCAAAGCTGTTCTTTTTTTTAAGGATCAAATAAAGCCTGTACTTAAACCAATTGTGCGTGCAAATACAATCGCTGTCCCTCTTGCTGTGACATGTTTGTGCTGGCTGAAGCTTGAAGTATCCAAGACTGAAGCTCACAGGGGTTTGGGCGGAGAACTGGTCCAGGGCAAAGAGGGCAGGTGACTTACTGATTGCATAAAATTCCCTCCCTGCGATCAAAACAACAGCCCCGCCGCCATTCGTGCTTGAGCGTCGCAATGGGGTGGTAGGAGAATGTGTGTTTTGCCTGCCTTGTTGCAAGGAGGAAAGGGAGGGTGGCTCTGTCCTGGATGAGGAGGCAAAGGTGGCATTCCTGTATTTTTGTTGGATCCCTTTGCATGACCAACCTCACCTGTCAAAACATGATGAGAACTAGAAGTAGAACAAAGAAGAGAGAAGCAGGAACCAGTGAGAAGACAGATTGAACTGAGCCAGGCAGGGTCTTAAAACACAGCCTGGAAAACGTCCGATTGCATTTTACAGCTGCTTGAACTTACCATTTTTGGCTAACGTGTATGTGTGTATTTATATGTTTGTCTATATGACCATGAAATTATTATGTCTAGGCCAATGGATTTTTTATTTTTATTTTTATTTCTTAGAGACAGAGTTTTGTTCTGTCACCCCAACTGGAGCGCAGGGACATGCTCATAGCTCATGTAACCTCCAACTCTTTGACTCAAGCAATTCTCCTACCTCAGCCTCCAGAGTAGCTGGGACTACAGCAGTGAGCCACTGCTCCAGCACCGATGGATATTTTTTAATATTATCATGTATGTAGATATAAATATGTAATTTCTAGACAACAAGTATCAAACATATTAATTTACTTTGTGCAATGCCTTTCACCACCTAACTATAGCTAGTGATTTCTAGCTTTTTAAGATACAGCTTTATAAACAAAGTGCTTGGCTGCGCACGGTGGCTCAGGCCTATAATCCTAGCACTTTGGGAGGTTGACAAGAGCAGATCACCAGAGTTCAGGAGTTCGAGACCAGCCTGGTCTACATGTTGAAACCCCATCTCTACTAAAAATACAAAAAATTAGCCAAGCGTGGTGGCACATGCCTAGAATCTCAGCTGCTTGGGAGGCTGAGGCAGGAGAATCACTGGAACCTGGGAGGTGGAGGCTGCCGTGAGTTGAGATCATGCCACTGCAATCCAGCCTGGGCAACAGAGCAAGACTCCATCTCAAAATTAATTAATTACTTAATTAATAATAAAATAAACAAAGCAGTTTCACATAATTATCTCAGTTAGAGGCCTGAACATCAGCTCACCCTCTTCTGATCCGAGGACTCTTAGAACTTCCACTTTTGACTTTCAGGCCCAGTCTACCAACTATGTGTTCCTCAGAATTTCATGATATCCAAGGCCAGCTCTGTCACTTGAGCTCTGCTGTCTAGTCTGACTCAAAGCCTTCTTCCTATTCCTGGTATTTCTGAGTTCCTGAAACTGCCCTCCTGCCTCTTGTTCTGTGATCAGCTCATTCAGCATTTTCTCCAAATATTCCCTTCACCTGTTTGCTTTCATGGACATTACAAGTCTTCTGAGGACATTTTCTTCCCACTGCCTCTTCCTGGACAGGATAGGTTTTTGTTTTGTTTTATTTTGTTTTGTTTTGTTTTGTTTTGTTTTGTTTTTTCTTTCTCATCCACCTTGCACTGTAAGGCTGAGAAGTAGAAAAAGGCATCCCCCTGGCTTCTCACTGTTGACTGCGAAGCATTTCTCTCCCTCCCTCCTGACAGGGTGTCCTCGTGCTCCTTTCCCATCATCTTGGACCAGTCATCTCCTTGACCTCCGCTCACTCCTACTCATTTAAGAAATACTTGAGCCCCTGACCAATGTGCTTTCTGTCCACCCCACATCTGCATCATTCTCTGACCTCAGCATTCACAGGTGGCCCTCTCTACACTCTGATATCGCAGTTCCTTAAATTCTTCACCCCACTCCACTTCATCTCAGCCAGCCGCCCCATTGGCCACTATTGGGCTTTTTATTTACACCATCAGTACCTGCTTTCTTTCTGAAATCTCCAACTACTATCTCTTTCCTAGTCATCAGCTGACTGGCTTTGTTGCTACATTTATTTTACCTAATGCATGGACTCTAACACTTAAGAATTATCTGTAAGCCTTCTTCCATCTTTATTTATTATTTACTTTTTGGTGGTAGGGTCTCCCTTTGTTGCCTAGGCTGGAATGCAGTGGTATGATCATAGCTCACTGCAACTTATACCTTAGATCCTCCCACCTCAGCCTCTAGAGTAGCTGGGACCACAGTATGCACCATCACACTAGGCTAATTTTTTTTTCTTTTGGTAGAGATGGGGTCTCAGTTTGATGCCCAGATTGGTCTTGAACTTGTGGGCTCAAGGTATCCCCCATACTTGGCCTCTCAAAGTGCTAGGATTACAGGCATGAGCCGTCACACTTGGCCCCATCTTCATTTTATTCCCATCTGATTTAGAGTTCATTTCCACTGATATCATTTCCTTAAACATATTCTTGACTCATTAGGTATTCAGAGACAAAAATAAATCTTAATCTAAATCTCATACCTTATACAAAAATTAACTCAGAGTGAATTATACATTTAAATGTAAAATGCAAAACTATAAAATTTTAGACGATAACATAGAGGAGTCTTTGGGACCTCGGTCTTGGTGAAGAGTTCTTAAATGTGATTCCAAAAGCACAATCCATAAAAAAAATAATAAATTGGTGGGAAGCTGGGGAGAGATAGCAAGGGGAGAAATGCCAGATGTAGGTGATGGGGAGGAAGGCAGCAAATCACACTGCCACGTGTGTACCTATGCAACAATTTTGCATGTTCTTCACATGTACCCCAAAACCTAAAATGCAATAAAATAAATAAATGGGAAAAAAAAAATTTAAAAAAATAATAAATTGGACTTCATTAAAATTTAAAAGTTTTACTCTGCAAAAGACCTATTGGGGATAAAAAGACAAGCTAGAGACTGGGAGACATATTTGCAAATCACACATCTGACAAAGGAGTAGTATCTAGAATATATAAAGAACTCTGAAACTCAACATTAAAAAGAATAAAGTTGAAAGTTGGCAAAAAGCATCCAGAGAGTTCACCAGAGAGGATACAAAGATGGCAAACAAGCATTTGAAGATATGTTCAGTATCACTAGCCATTAAGGGAAATGCGAATTAAGACCATTACTATATACACATTAGAACTGTTGAAATAAAAACTAATGACAACATATTGATCTAAATAAATTATCAAAGAAATAAATAGATGGAGGAGCATAGAAAGATCTTTCATGCAAATGAATTTCAAATAATGTATGAGGGTACTGTACCCTCAAGGAGGTGGAACATAGCTTCCCATTCCTTAAGTGGCTTCCTGCTGAAGAGTAGTATGGAAAGAGGGAAAAGGAGTAACTTCATAAGGAAGAAATGTAGCAAACACTATCTCAACCAGTTGATCAAGGTTGATATCAGTAGTGATGTCCTATTGGTAGTGTGTACTCTTAAGAGAATATGATGAGAATTCTATCAAGAATTCTTGACAGCACTTTGTGTGGTCTTCCTCCCCACAACCCCAATCTGAACATGAGAAAAACATTAGAAAACATCATGAAATCAAGTACAGTTAACTCTTAAACAATAGGGTTTAAACAGTGTGAGCCTACTTATACACAGATTTTCTTCCACTTCTACTGCCCCTGAGACAGCAAGACCAACCCCTCCTCTTCCTCCTCTTCTTCATCCTATTCAATGTGAAGATGATGAGGTTGAGACCATTATGATTTCCACTTAATGAGTAGCAAATATATTTTCTCATCCTTATGATTTTGTTAATAACATTGTCTTTTCCCTAGCTTACTTTATTTGTAAGAATATAGTATACAATACATAGAACATACAAAATATGTGTTAATCTACTATGTTAACAGTAGGCTTCTGGTTAATAATAGGCTATCAGTAGTTAAGTTTTGGTGGAGGGTCAAAAGTTATACTTGGATTTTCAACTACACAAAGGGTCAATGTCCCTAACTTCCACATTGTTCAAGAGTCAATTGTCTATGTTGAATAGAGACTTGAACCCAACTTTTCTGTCCCATAAGCCAGTGCTTTTTCTACTATGTTTAACTTACCAAGGGGAAGGTACTTTTTGATGGCCGTGGATTCAACCTACATCCACTAGAGTCTCAGGGTCCTCTGGATTACACAAAATTCAGGAATTCAAAGACTAAATGGGGCATAGCAATGGTTCCCAAATGGTGAGAAGGGCCAGAGTTTTTACTGGCCCATAGAACACCTATTGTAGAATTTTCCAGCTTCTCTCTGTAAGAAAGGAGACTATATGGTTTTGCCCTGAAAGTGAGGGGCAGTAACTGGGGAGAGCCCTGAGCTTACTTCCTGCAGGGTCCCCACCACCCACCTGGCCTGACTCAGCCAGTCTTCTACCTACCCATTTGTTAGCAAGGTAAAAGAAAGGACTTGAGAATGTGGGAGCTACTGTTCCTTAGCATCTTGATTTGCCTAGACTATGTCAAAATAATTGAAACAGTGTTAGACCCAGCTCAGTGACTCACACCTGTAATCCCAGCATATTTGGGAGGCGAAGGCAGGTGGATCACCTGAGGTCAGGAGTTCCAGACCAGCCTGATCAACATGGTGGAACCTCTCCTCTACTAAAAATAAAAAAAATTAGCCAGGTGTGGGGGCTCATGCCTGTAATCCCAGCTACTCAGGAGGCTGAGGCAGGAGAATCACTTGAACCCGGGAGGTGGAGGTTGCAGTAAGCCCAGATTGAACCATTGCACTCCAGACTGGGCAACAAGAGTGAAACTCCGTCTCAAAACAACAACAACAACAACAACAAAAACAGTATTGATACTGGTGTTTTCATTTTCATTTTTGCTCATATCTATAAAACAGAATTTTTGATGATGGCAGTAATAAAAATGTAACACAAAAACAAGTTACACCTTAGTGCTCTTCATCATGGGTGCTATCAAATACCAGAGTATGAAATACACCTAGTGCTATCAAATTTTTAAAAAATTGTACCAAGGGAACATAACATTTGTTGTAGTATAAAATAAATTTTAATGTTATAAATGTTTCTAACTTTATATAAAACTATAAGTATATCCTTTAAAATTATCTGCAGTTAACAAATTGTATTTCTTGGGAAGAGCTCCTTTGTGTTCTGACATTATGAACTTCCTACATTTTTGGTGTTGAAATATCCTTTCCTGTCTGAAATAATGACAATGATAGCTTTTTGTTATTGTTGTTATTGGCAAAATTAACAGTTTGGCAACTCTCTGTTAGTTCTTTCTACTGCTTTGGGAAACTTGACTGTCCTGAAAATTTAAAGTCTGAAAACTACTAACCAGAGAATGCTATTATTCTAAAATATAGGTGAATTAAATCGATGATTTTTTAAAATTCTATGTAAATTAAAAACTCACTTGGCTGGTGAGAAGGCTGGGGAAAAGAAGAACTCAGAAACTTTGGCTGGTTTCATTAGTTGTGTTTCACATAATCTGCTGTGAAAAATTTCACTTTCTTCTACCACTTCCTTACTAGTTATTTTATGAACACCAAATCTGAAAAGAACTGAAATTGTAGAAACTGGAATATATTATAGCTTCATAGTATCATATATCACAACTCTTCAGAACATGTATATTTCACGGAATGATATGCTATAAAGGTTTGCTTTCATTTGTTTTCTGTGTGTTTGCTTTGATATTTTGCTCTTGATGTCACGTGAATGCTATGAATTAGTGAAAGTTGCAAAATGTGCTCTGTAATTGTTGGGGTAGTTTCTTAACGTTTGTATCAGAGAAACTAAGTTGATGAGAAACATGGAAATGTGCTTCTGCGTTTAGTAATTCTTTCCCTTACATTGTATAATGTAAGCAATAGAGCCATTCCATTAAAGTGTGAAAATAATTTCCTCATGAATTCTGTATCAATGTGGGAAATTTTGAGCATGTGTGGAGTTTTACTCTGCCTAGCTGCTCAAAGGCTGTCTAAGGAGGTAAAAATAGGCACTGGTGGGATTTTCCCTTCATTTCAGTCCATGCACCAATTCAAATGAATCTAATTTTGCCTCATTAGAAAGCAGATCCCTTTACTCCATTTTATGCCATCTCCATTTCAATGAGCTGCGGAAGGGAAACACCATTTCCCTGACACTGACAATTTCCGAATGAGACCATTTGCAGAGGCTGAATATTTCGCCCACAGCAGGTAGTTTTACATCAATTTGCATTAATAGCAAAATTGGAAGAGGTAGCTTGTTAGCATTTCCCTGCTTGCCCTGGAGACTAAAATGTGCAACATTGAGTACTATGCCATTTTGAAAATTCATTTCCCTTTGGAATATAAGTGCCTTCCAAAATTGACTCAGATTAGAGCTTTTACTATTGATATTTAGAAACAATTTGAGACAATGGTTGCTAAGATACAATGTGTTATACTTATCCCAATATAATTTCAGTTTTATTTTTATTGCAAAGAAGGAGATGAGAAAATGTCAGGTCTTAATTTGGGGTAGCTTTTTATGTCCAAGTAAACAGACAGTAAATTCCTTATTGGTGTCACTTCTTTCAAATAACGAAATATTTGATGGAGATTTATCTGCAGATAATAGTAATTTGGGAAATATGAAAATGTTGGTGAGGTCAGAGAGCAGTAGAAAAGATCAGGTGTTGTCGCTCACGCCTGTAATCTCAGTGCCTTTTAGGAGGCCATGGCAGGAGGATCACTTGAGCCCAGGAGTTGAAGACCAGCCTGGGCAACATACCAAAACACCATCTTCACAAAAATTCAAAAATTAGCTGGGTATGGTGGTCCGTGCCTGTAGTACTAGCTACTTGGGAGGTTGAGGTGGGAGGATCACCTAAGATAAGGAGGTCGAGGCTGTGGTGAGCTGTGATCATGTCACTACATTCCAGCCTGGGTGACAGCGTGAGACCTTGTTAAAAAAAAAAAAAAAAGGAGCCAAACATCTCAAGTTGATGAATACACAAAAATGTAGCATCAAGAACATTCAGAAAAGGGAGATAGAATTTGTAGATGAGAAATAAATTTGCATAAAATACTTTAAGACACCAAAAATTCCCAGACATTTTAACCTAAAACTATATGTATTAGGTTCTTGTTAAGGAATAGAAGAGGTTAATATTTTTAGCAGGAAGAAACTATTAGCAAATCCACAAATTATACTTTTATTTGTTCTTCCATTATGAAGGATACACATTTGTTAGCTTAAGTAAGATCTCCTGCCTTACACAATTTCACTGTGGAAAAAATAATATTGACCAAGCCTCTGATCCTGCCTGACATGAAACTGATACACACTTAGAATCATGGAATTTTTTAGCTGGAAAGTACCTTTGGATGACAATTAAAGGCATTAAAAATGTATGTCCTTCACACCAGTTTCATTTACAATAAGTAATTATAAATGCCACAAAGATAGAAAGTTTAAATAATTATACTGGACAATAGTGCAAACAGGGTCCTCATGATGAATTTGTTAATTCTCTTTTCTACTAGTGGGTAAAGCTCTTCATAGAATTCTAAAATTTTAGATGTACAACACTTTGGGGATGACTAATTTTGCACAGATGAGGAAACCAAGACGGAGACAGGATAGTTGACAACACGAAAATCTCACAGTAACAAAGCCAAGTTCAACACAGAGAAAGACTGAGCTTTGTGCAAATAGAACTTTAGGGCCTTTATTCAGGGAAGCAGACTTCTTCCACAGACCACTATGGCCTCAGGGTGGGAGACCCTGAAAAACTCAGATAATAGTGAGAAATGAGGAATCCAGGCCAGAGCTGAACCTACTCTGAAAGGGCCTGTGAAAGATCAGAATATCTTTTCCAAATATGAAGGATGGTTGAGCTAAAGATGCTTAAGAAGAAACAGACACAGGAGAGGTCTCTGCCCCCATTTTCCCAAAAGGAAAACATAGATTTACAGAGGCAAAAAGTATCCTGGCCACCAACCCACACCTTTTCCCCCAAGAAAAGGTTAATGGCTGAAGACAGCTTTAGATCGTCATCAGCCTGGAGTCGGTACCAGAGGAATTTCTATTGGCAGGCTTTCCCAACTAGTGTTTATCTGCTGTTTGTTTGCCTTTCCTCAAGCTGCCAGCCTACTCACAGAAACTCAAAGTCCTTTCTTGTTGTCCTGCCACTTCTCTAAAAATCTATTGTTCTTTGTTGAAGATGCTACATATAAACTGGAACTTAAAGCCTCCTCTTTGAAAACTCATTCTCTGGATGTCTCCCATAAGTGTATAAAATACCCATATTAATACACTTCTGTTTTTATCCTGTTTGTCTGTCTGTTATGATGGGTCCATTCCAACTAAGAACCTATTGGAGGTGATCATTACTCCCTTGAAGCTCTTTGTTGTCTGTGTGTTTACTGATCATCTCCTTGGTGAGAAAGAACTGTTAACTTAGATCAGAAACTCATAGAACATGACTTGTAACTCATTGTATGTAAAGGAGCCTAAATTAACTGTTCAAAACCCAGAGACACTATACCAGAGTAGCCAGGACCTCAGGCCCTGGATGCCAACTGTCTGGGTTTGGTTGTAGGGTGAGAGAGCAGAGGAATTGCCATCCAAACCCTTGTAGGTCATGACAAAGGTTTGTATTGTTATCCCAAGAGCTTTGGGAAATCAGAGAAGAGTGTGCTCCAATTCATATTCAAAAAGCTTACATGAAAAACCTCTGTCCATTACTAATTGTGTGAATTTGGGCAAGTAATTTATCCTGTCTGTGCCACAAATTCTTCATGTAAAAAGACACTCACCTTTTACTGTTGCTAGGGGAATTAAATGAGATAATGCTTTAAAATGCCCCAAACAATGCCTGGGGCACAGCAGGCTGTGGATGGACCGTAATGGGATTCAGCTCTGCATTTCCATAGTCTGACCAAGGGGTCATCGTAAGTGATGAAAGAAAAAGAAAAGACCCAAAGGGAATTTAAAGGTTGATAATAGAGAAGAAAAGATGTCAATGATGATGAGAAGCTACAGGGTCTACAGACTCATTCCAGGATTGGTGGGAAGTAGGAGATAAATGGGGGAGAGGCTCTGGGTTTTGAAATTGGACTTCAGAGACCTCTCACTTTGAATCTACAGCCCTTTGAAATGCTAGTCATGCATGAACAGCATCCTATGCACTCCAATGCTAATAAATTTTTCAGCAGCTCCACTTTGAATTGAGCCAAATATCTAGAGCACAGTAATTCTCTGAACTGTAAGAACTGTGATCATAGCAAACTCACAGTGAGGGTAGATTTGCTCAGTTTGGCATCTGAAGCTAGCTAAAATCTTGGCCCAACCTGAATCTAATTCTTACAGCTCCCTAACCTGAAGGGTGCTTAAAACATTTCCCTTGCTCAATAGCAAGCCCAGGCTCCCTAAGGCAGCCAGTCACCACCTGTCTCTTCCATGTCATCTCACTGCTCCTGGCCTTACATTTCGTGCTCTCACAGCAACCCTGAGTGACCTGGAGGTCCTCTTTCTCCCTACACACCAGTACATCTTCTAACCTGTTTCTTTGCTCAGAAGCATCCTCTCCCTGCCTCACCTGCACAATTGCATGTGATTCCTACTCACTGCCACCAGGAAGCCTTCTCTGACGCCTCTGACTGGAAGAGGTGCCCCTCTTTTCATAACCTGCTCCACACATTGTGTTACAGTTCCTGGTTCCTCTTGTTGACTCTGAGCTCTTTGTAGCCATAGTATTCAGTGCCTGGCTTAGAGAAGGCCGTCGTTCTCATAAGTGAGCCCTTTGATCCACGTAAACTGCTCACTCTCTGTCCCAGGGATACGTTCCCTGCATTTTTAGAATACCTGAAACTCTTGCTCCATGTATTGCATGCTTCTGTGTGTCACTGTGTCTTTTACTATCTGTTTAAGCCTTTCCCAAACACAGAGTATTTAGGAGAAAGACAATAAGAAGCTTTTCCATCTCTTTATCCCCAAAACTTTAATGTAATGGCCAAACACATGGAGGTGCTTGATAAATAGTTGTCAGTGATGAAATGCTGCTTTCTGCCTTTACTGTCTTCCCATCAAACCCCACTCATCTTTAAGGTCTACCTCTTCCATGGATTGTTGCTTTTATTTATTTATTTTTTTAGAACACTTAGCCACTCACTGTACTGTTTTTTTTTTTTTTTTTTTTTTTTCGTTTTTTATTGAGATGCAGTTTCGCTCTTGTTGCCCAGGCTGGAGTACAATGGCAGGGTCGCAGCTCACCACAACCTCTGCCTCCGGGTTCAAGCAATTCTCCTGCCTCAGCCTCCCTAGCAGCTGGGATTACCGGTGTGCACCACCACACTGGCTAATTTTGTATTTTCAGTAGAGATGGGGTTTCTCCATGTTGGTTAGGCTGGTTTCGAGCTTCTGACCTCAGGTGATCCACCCACCTCAGTGTCCCAAAGTGCTGGGATTACAGGTGTACTTGACTTTTTTATTATTATATTTTTATTTATTTATTTATTTTCTGATACAGAGTCTTACTCTGTCAATCACGGCTCACTGCAGCCTTGACCTCCAGGGCTCAATCGATCCTCCTAATCAACCTCCCAAGTAGCTGGGACTACAGGCATGTGCCACCATGGCACAGCTAATTTTTGCATTTTTGGTAAAGACGAGGTTTTTTTCATGTTCCCCAGGATTTAACTGTTCTATGTATGTACATAAAGTATCTCATACAAGCTTTCTTTCTTTTTTTTTTTTTACAAAATTATCTGTATCTCATATTCTTTTGTAGCACTCTCCCTCTGTAATATGTAAAATCATTTTCCTTGTTAATCTTCTCAGGTTGAGATAAGCAGGAAAGAACGTGATGTAAAAGCAGGTGAATGCCTTGCGTATACACATGTTCGGGAAAATATGAAGTATAGGTCTGGTGGGTTTGGGGAGTGATAAAGGAATAAATGAAACAGAAAGGACATTTTACAGAAGTATGTTAAGGATTAGCTGCTTAAATAGTTGTTATATTTATTATCTTAATGAAAATGCTGAAAATACCTGAGAAAAGTGGAATAAAATGGGTCAAAGGTAATAAAAAGGTCAAAGGAATAAAAAGGGTCAAAAGTGAAATAAAATGGGGCAAACACATTACTGGGCGCGGTGGCTCATGCCTGTAATCCCAGCACTTTGGGCTGCCAAGGCAGGCAGATCACCTGAGGTCATAAGTTCGAGACCAGCCTGACCAACATGGAGAAACCCTGTCTCTACTAAAAATACAAAATTAGCTGGGTGTGGTGGTGCATCCCTGTAATCCCAGCTACTCGGGAGGCTGAGGCAGGAGAATCGCTTAAACCCAGGAGGCCAAGGTTGTGGCGAGCAGAGATCCCACCATTGCACTGGGTGACAAGAGTGAAACTCTGTCTCAAAACCACACAAAACAAAACAATATTCATTTGGCTGAGAAGGCAGTGCTGTCTGGTGGTCAGAGCTTTGGTGTCAAATGATCTGAGTTCCATTCCTTGCTCCTCCATTCACCATGAGACTTAGGCAAGTAACCATCATTTCAGACATCTGTATATCAGTCATCATTTCAAACCCATTGTATAACAGGGCTGAGAGTACCTACCACATAGGGTTATTGCAACAATTACATGAGCTAATGCAGATTAATTCAAAGCCTGAGACAAATTAACTTTTATTTTATTTTATTTTTATTTTTATTTTTTTCTGAGATGGAGACTTGCTTTGTCACCAGGCTGGAGTGCAGTGGCACAGTCTCAGCTCACTGTAACCTCCACCTCCCGGGTTCAAGCGATTCTTCCGCCTCAGCCTCCTGAAGAGCTGGGACTACAGGTGTATGCCAAACGCCTGGCCAATTTTTGTATTTTTAGTAGAGATGGGGTTTCTCCATGTTGGCCAGGATGGTCTCGATCTCCTGACCTCATGATCCACCCGCCTCGGCCTCCCAAAGTGCTGGGATTATAGGCGTGAGCCACCGTGCCCGGCCATTTTATTTTTGAGACAGAGTCTTGCTCTCTCACCCAGGCTGGAGTGCAAAAGCATGATCTCAGCTAACCGCAGCCTTGACCTCCCTGGCCCAAGCAAGCCTCCTGCCTCAGCCTCCTGAGTAGCTGGGCCCACAGGCATGAGCCACCACACCTGACCAATTCTTATATTTTTTTGTACAGATGAGATTTCGCTGTGTTGCCCAGGATGAGCCACTGTGCCTGGCCAAATGAGCTATTGATGATGATGATAAGGACACGTGATAAGGGTAAGGACGCAGGTGACTGAAGGGTAGAATTACTGTTGGTTCCCAGGGATGGTGGCTCACACCTCAGTTCCTAGCACTTTGGGAGGCTGAGGTAGGAGTAACGCTTGAGGTAGGAGTTCAAGACCAGCCTGGGCAATTAGCAAGACCCCCACCTCTACAAAAAAAATTGGAAAATTAGCTGGGCATGATGGCACATGCCTATAGTCCCAGCTACTTAGGAGGCTGAGATGGTAGCCTCCCCTGAGCCCAGGAGCTTGAGGCTGTAGTGAGCTGTGATGACACCACTGCACTCTAGCCTGGGTTCTTGTCTCTTAAAAAAAAAAAAAAAAAGGTATTACCATTGGTTAGTAATTAAGGAAGCAAGAGGCTTTTTATATGGAGTGTAAGAAAGAGTGTGAATGAAATGGTGAAGACAATGGGGGTGGGGTGGGGGTGGGGAATGGATGAAATAGTGAACAGCTTCCCGCTAAAAAAGCACCTAGTACCTAGTAGGAGAAAGACTAGGGGAAGGAAGGTCAAGATGGGAAAAGGTAAAGGAGGGGCCTATCAGAAAGGACTGCAAAGAGACAGAGAAGAACAGTAAACTAGGGTATGGGAAAATACTTGAAATACCCTGAAACATACTGCCACTCATTCAGAAAATATTAAGTGCTTTGTCCTTTGTCAGATAGCACAAAAACCGGCTAATCCACAGTGAGGTATTCCAACATGGTTAGTGAGTCACGTTGCTATGGAGACTGTTGTCAGAGACGCATAGAGACAGAAGGGATCTCAAAGTTTGGCTAATGTCATCTGCCTCTATCCTTTTACCTTCAAATCTATGTTCAGTGCATACATAAATAAATCGTTGTGTTCTGACAGTTTAGTTACCAATGCCAAAGAAATATGTTGTGAGCAACATCTCAAATTCTGCAAATCCAAACAAAGCTCATTATCATCTCTCAAACACCTTTGGCAACCCCCCCTTCTCTATCTTGTTTAATAGTGCTCTGAGTCTCCTAAGCTCTCGGGCTAAAAGAGGTGTCTCCATCTTCGGGCCATCTTCTCTCACATTTGGCATCCAACGCATTGTCTCTGAAATCACTCTTGCATTCATCTTCTTTCTCACTGCAACCACCTTAGTCTGGGACCTCATTGGTGTAGAATTTCAGAGCTGAAGACAGTTCATTTTACAAAGGCTCAGAGTGCATATCTGACTTGTACAAAGTCATATGGGTAATGAGTGGGCCAGTCAGATGAATAAGCCCAGCCTGTAGATCAATTTTTCTTTTAATTTCTAATGCTTGAGTTGCATAAAAAATCCGCACAACAAAACTGGAGTGGTATAATTCAGAGTCTCCCAGGGCAAACTCATGACTTTAACTTGAACTTTCAGCAAACGACTATCAGATCTATCCTCAATCTTAAATAGTTTCTTGAACTGAGTTTAACATTTCCTACATCTTGTTGGGCATCTTCAGTCAAATGTCCTGGCAGCACTTAAAGCTCAATAAGTCAAGGCCACGTGCCGTGGCTCACTCCTGTAATCCCTGCACTCTGGGAGGCCAAGGCAGGTGGATCATCTGAGGTTGGGAGTTTGAGACCAGCCTGACCAACATGGAGAAATCCTGTCTCTACTAAAAATACAAAAAATTAGCTGGGCATGGTGGCACATGCCTGTAATCCCAGCTACTCAGGAGTCTGAGGCAGGAGAATTGCTTGAACTTGGGAAGCAGAGGTTGCACAGTGAGCTGAGATCACACCACTGCACTCCAGCCTGGGCAATCAAGAGCAAAACTGTCTCAAAAACAAAAACAACAACAAAAACTAAATAATTCTAAATGGAAACTTCTCATTTTCCTCCTCCCCATCAGAAAGACAAGAGTGCAGCGATGAATGAAGAATTGAGATCCAGATTTTAATCTCACCTTTGATATTTATTAAATTAACCCCATAAAGCCTCAGTTTCCTTAGTTATAAAATGGAAATAACAATAGTACTTACTGGTTGGGCATCGTGGCTCATGCCTGTAATCCCAGCACTTTGGGAGGTGGAGGTGAGCAGATTGCCTGAGCTCAGGAGTTCGAGACCAGCCTGGGCAACATGGCAAAACCCTGTCTCTACAAAAAATATAAACATTAGCTGGGCATGGTGGTACATGCCTGTGGTCCCAGCTACTTGGGGAGCTGAGGCAGGAGGATTGCTTGAGCTCGAGGCTGTGGTGAGCTGAGATTACACCACTGCCCTACAGCCTGAGTGACAGGGCAAGACCCTGTCTTACTTAATAGAACTTCTAGGAGACATAAGAGATATAATAATTATATAATGCCCTTAGCGTAGTATCTGTCATGCAGTAATTGCACAATAATATTAGTAAAATTTCCCAATGAGAAAGTTCAACATTATCTTCAGCTCTTCTTTCTTGCTCCAAAAATCTAACCAGTTGCTAAGTGCTGATGATTCTGATTCTGTCTCTGCAGTATCACTTGCATGCAGCTCCTTCTCCCTATGCTCACTGCTGGAGAAAAGAGAACCTTGGCTGATGATTTATGGATCTACAAGTAATCAAACCTTAACTGCCACAAAAATAACTATCTAGTCCTCCCACTCTCCCCCGCACCTTCCCTAGTTAGCGATGCAAGAACTTGGGTTGTTCAGGTGGAAGGCATATAGATTGTATTTTATTTGAATAGCTCTCCAGGTAACACAGTACTGTCTCTGCACATGATTAAATATGTCAGGTCAACTTTTCTGCAAGTTTTCCTCCATCGCAACACCAACATCCACATTTAATTTGTTGCTTTATTCAACACAATCATCTGCTTTCAGCCCGAAATAAATAAAAAGAAACAATTTGCCAGAGGAAAACCGGCTAGTTAGGCCTGCTTTGCTTTGGCCAATCCCATGTTCTGTGTCAATCGTCTCATTACACTTTGTTT